GGTGGCACCGAAATGGATCCGGATGAACTGCCCCTGGGAGAGAGCGGTGGTGGGAAGGGGGAGGTGGTCACCTGCCCCCAACAGGCCCTGCCCCGTAGGACACACCCATCTTCCGCACTCACGAATCGGGAGGAGTTGTCGTTGCGGACAGTCTTGGCGTTGCCAAAGGCCTCCAGGGCAGGGTTGGCCTGGATGATCTGGTCCTCCAGGGTGCCCTGGGTGGGGCGGGGATGATGAGGTAGGGGGCATTTGGGTGTGGACACCCTCAGGGGAAGCTCAGCGTTGGAGGCAGGGGAGTGGCCTGAGAACCCACCTTGCTGCTATTGGCCGCCTCCTTCTTGCGGTCACCGATGGCGGCGATGCTGGCAAAGTATTGGATGACCCTCTTGGTGTTGACCGTCTTCCCCGCCCCAGATTCTCCGCTGTGGGTGGGACGGAGGAGATGTTGGAGAATGTCATTGGGTGGGGCTGCTATGGGGTGGCAGGGGTGAGAGGGCGGGGCCTTACGTGATGAGGATGGACTGGTTCTCTCGGTCTGGCAGGAGAAGAGAGGAGGAAGGGGGAGGCGATGTTGGGGGTCTCAGCTGGGGTTTTCCAACCTCCCAGCTTGGAGGTCAGGCCCCTATTTTTGTGGGGGGGTGGTGTCTTCAAGTTTGGGGTCCCCACCCGAGGGCCCCGCCCCCCTTACCCGTCAGCATGTTCTGGTAGGCGTTGTCGGAGATGGAGAAGATGTGGGGTGGAGCTTCGCTCCGCTTTTTGCCCCGGTAGGCAGCCACGACCTCAGCATTGTAGACGGGCAACCACTTGTAGGGGTTGACGGTGACGCAGAAGAGCCCTGAGTAGGTCTGGAGAAGGGGGGGGGGCAGGGTCAGGGCTATCAGATCCTACCCCACCGAGAGGGGACAGCCCTGGTTTAGGGTTTGGGGGGAGGGGTCCAAGGAACATGGCACAGGTCAAACTTCATAGATCTGGGTGGCCCATGGGGGCTGGAGAAGGGACAGGAAGTTCTAGGTGGCTCAAGGGGGCTGGGACATCGTGGGTCTTGGTGGACCATGGGAGTTGGAGGCGGGATCAGCAGGTTCTAGGTTGCCCAAGGGGTCTCTGACATCTTGGATCTTGGTGGCCCATGTGGGCTAGAGATGGGACATCTTGTGTCTTGGTGGCCCAAGAGGTCTGGGGAAGGGAGAATCACATTCTTGGTGGCCCATGGGGTCTGGGACATCTTGGGTATTGGTGGCCCAAGAGATGTGGATAAGGGATGTCCTGATTCTGGATGGTCTATGGGGGCTGGAGATGGGACAACAGGTTCTAGGTGGGTCAAAGTCCCTCTGAGAAAGCCACTCCCAGGTTCTCTGTGACCCATAGGCTCTGGAAGGACCATCCCCGGTTTAGGTCACCAAGAGCTTTAGGGGTGGGGTCCCAGCTTCCATCCAGCCCAGAGGCTCTGGGGAAGGCCCCACCCAGTTCCCCCTTGCCCCAGATGCTTGTGGGAAGGCTCACGTAGATCATCCAGGCAGCGTAGCGCTCCTTGAGGTTGTAGAGGACAGCAGGCTCATGAAGGAAGGTCAGCATG